CACCTCAAGAGCACCCATGGGGACCTCAAGGAGACATCTCCACCCCAAGGGCACCCATCGGGACCTCAAGGGCACCCATGGGGACCTCAAGGTAGACCCAACGGCACCTCAAGGTGGCCCCAAGGAGACCTCAAGGACCCAAGAAGACCTCAAGAGGACCTCAAGGAGATATCTTCACCTCAAGAGCACCCATGGGGACCTCAAGGGGACCCCAAGGAGACATCTCCACCCCAAGAGTACCCATGAGGACCTGAAGGTGACCCATGGGGACCTCAAGGGGACCTCAAGGAGATATCTCCACCTCTAGAACATCCATGGGGACCTCAAGGTGGCCCCAAGAGGACCTCAAGGACCCAAGAACACCCAAGAAGACCTCAGGGGGACCTCAAGGTGACCCATGGGGACCTCAAGGGGACCTCAAGGAGATATCTCCACCTCAAGAGCACCCATGGGGACCTCAAGGGGACCCCAAGGAGACATCTCCACCCCAAGAGTACCCATGAGGACCTGAAGGTGACCCATGGGGACCTCAAGGGGACCTCAAGGAGATATCTCCACCTCAAGAGCACCCATGAGGAACTCAAAGGAACCTCAAGGAGATATCTCCACCCCAAGAGCACCCATGGGGACCTCAAGGAGACCCACAGAGGACCTCAAGGACCCAAGAACACCCAAGAAGACCTCAGGGGGACCTCAAGGTGACCCATGGGGACCTCAAGGGGACCCACGGGGACCTCAAGGGGACCCCAAGGAGATATCTCCACCCCAAGAGCACCCATGGGGACCTCAAGGGCACCCATGGGGACCTCAAGGTGGCCCCAAGAAGACCTCAAGGACCCAAGAACACCCATGAGGACCTCAAGAGCACCCATGGGGACCTCAAGGGGACCCATGGGGACCTCAAGGAAACATCTCCACCCCAAGAGAACCCATGGGGACCTCAAGGTGGCCCCAAGGGGACCTCAGGGCACCCGAAGGACCCAAGAGCACCTCAAGGACCCAACGGCACCCCAAGAGGACCCAAGGGGACCTCAAGGGACCTCGAGGACCCATCTCCACCCCGAGGTGCCCCAAGAGCACCCAAAGAGGACCTCAAGGTGCCCTAAGGGACCTCAAGGACCCAAGAGCACCCTGAGGTGACCTCAAGGACCCAAGAGCACCCCAAGGGCACCCTGAGGGACCTCGAGGACCCATCTCCACCTCAAGGTGACCCAAGAGCACCCCAAGGACCCAAGAGCACCCAAGAGCACCCCGAGGTGACCCCAAGGGACCTCAAGGACCCAAGAGCACCCAAGGGACCCTCAAGGACTGAAGAGCATCCAACGGCACCCAAAGAGGACCTCAAGGTGCCCCAGAAGCACCCAAGGGCACCCCAAGGACCCAAGAGCCCCCCGAGGTGTCCCCAAGGACCTCAAGGACCCAAGAGCACCCTGAGGTGACCTCAAGGACCCAAGAGCACCCAAGGGGACCCCAAGGACCCAGGAGCACCCAAGGGCACCTCGAGGGGACCCAAAGACACCCCGAGGGGACCCCAAGGACCCAAGAGCACCCTGAGGTGACCTCAAGGACCCAAGAGCACCCAAGGGTACCCCGAGGTGACCCCAAGGGACCTCAAGGACCCAAGAGCACCCAAGGGACCTTCAAGGACTGAAGAGCACCCAATGGCACCCAAAGAGGACCTCAAGGTGTCCCAGGAGCACCCAAGGGCACCCCAAGGATCCAAGAGCCCCCCGAGGTGTCCCCGGGGACCTCAAGGACCCAAGAGCACCCTGAGGTGACCTCAAGGACCCAAGAGCACCCAAGGGGACCCCAAGGACCCAGGAGCACCCAAGGGCACCTCGAGGGGACCCAAAGACAGGAGAAGGGCAAGGAGATATCTCCACCCCACCCAAGGGCACCCAAGGTGACCCTAAGGGACCTCAAGGACCCAAGAGCACCCTGAGGTGACCTCAAGGACCCAAGAGCACCCAAGGGACCCTCAAGGATCCAAGAGCACCCAACGGCACCCAAAGAGGACCTCAAGGTGTCCCAAGAGCACCCAAGGGCACCCGAGGTGACCCCAAGGACCCAAGAGCACCCCAAGGACCCAAGAGCACCCAAGGGCACCCAAGGTGACCCTAAGGGACCTCAAGGACCCAAGAGCACCCAAGGGACCCTCAAGGATCCAAGAGCACCCAACGGCACCCAAAGAGGACCTCAAGGTGTCCCAAGAGCACCCAAGGGCACCCGAGGTGACCCCAAGGACCCAAGAGCACCCCAAGGACCCA